TTTCTTTCTTTCTTTCTTTCTTTCTTTCTTTCTTTCTTTCTTTCTTCCATCATGTTCACGCGACCATGTCCCATGCATTTTTTAATCCAATAGTTTCCCCCTGGCGTCAGTAAATTCCAAACCTCTTAGAACAGTAGAAACGAATCTTCAATTTATTCTAATTACTGTTTTCTAATATTACTCTCTGTCTGCTGTTTGCGTTTTCCTCCATTTACTTGTTTGTTATTTGCAATGGATATGAGTGTTTTTTATACGGCTATCTTCATAATTCTCATTCTATTTGAATTGACGAATCTCCCACTGACACTGCACCTCGTCATACATTAGTCTGGCAAAAAACAAAAAAMAAAAAAACGGTTTTCGAAAAACGTCTTTTCGACGGAGTGTTTTTGAATCTTTTTCGTCCATCCACTCCTAAAAATTCCTGTTTCAAGAATATCCGGATGCGTTTAGATGGGGCTTAAAACGGTCTGGAGAGATGTGCGTTCGTTCTGTGAGTGTCTTGTGATTAAATCTGAGCGATATTCACTAGTTTTTTCCGCTTACTCTAAAGTCCATGTATTTCAAAATTGTCTAGCTTGCGAATAGCGGATTGCTATATCTTAGTTTATGATGAACATAGCGAAAAAAGTAATTAGTATTCACTACGAGAAGAGTAATTGTGTGACTGATGTGAAGCRTGTTGATGATTTGGATAGTTTTAGTTCAATGCCCAAAAAGACCCATTGTTTTGATATCGACGCAGTTACGAGGCCATTATTTTTCTTTAACAACGACAGCACGTTCGATAAGAATGATAGAAAAGACATTAGCATTTCACAGTTTTCTTTTCTGGAACCTTTTAGCGTCTCAAATTCTACGCCCTTCTAATAGCGTTGGTAAAGCAATCTTTCTGTGATAAGCCTATATTTTTCTAACTAACAATGCCATGCACATTCAATGTAATGAATAGCTACGAAAGATCCAGATTTTGATTCTGGAAATTGATAGTTCCACCAATTCTACAACTTTCTTTTATTTATCACGTTTTTAATCAAGAAGTTGTAGAGCTAATGATAAATGGTTGAGGAAACTTTTGGACCTTATTCTGCTGTTAGGAGGCGAGTTGTAAGACAAACCCGGAAGCCAAGAGACCCTAGGGGCCAAATGATATACGTGTGGAACGGAGCTTGATTTGGAATTTAATGTCACATAGAATATATGACAGACAAGGGGCCCTAAGGTCTAGATTGAAGGAAGTATAAAAAGAAAATGAGAGGATCAGCGACAGTGATAGTCTTAATAAGGGTTTAATCTTTAGTTTTTAGGCGATCTACTGACATCTCACTTCTGACACCAATCTATCTATTGCATCATTTAGTCGCTATTCCTTGCTGGGAAAAAAACATAGTGCTCCTCAATAAGTTAAGAAAAGAAAAGCCTTAACCTTTTTTAAGTTAGTGAATTTCTATTTTTCTCACACTAAATCCGTGAAACAAATACTAATTTTTAGCACTAAATAGTGATAACTAAACAATAGAAAACAAAGGATTCTGTATAAAATAGTACTAATTAGTACTATTTAATGTTCACGGTTTTAGTGCGTGCACTCTAGTTTCGCGACTTCGACCAATATGGGATATATTTCCCCCCAACTAGCCGCCAATATAAACCCGTATTGTCGACTAAAAATCGCAATAACTTTTGAGTATTCATATATATTATCTTAACACTGAGGCACTGAATCAGGAAGTAGCCGCCAATAGTCGGAAGACATTCTTTTTTGACGTATCTTAACCCCCAACTATAATTTTTTTTAAACGCACATTAGCAAGTTCAGCGGTGGCAAAAATGAATGTGGCGAAAAGTAAAGCTGCTTCGGGAAGGAGTTGTCAACAGTAATGATAACAATTGTTCAAGCTCTGCTCAGCTTATTGGATAACAGGAGCAAGATTTCCTGCGTTTTGATTGGTCTAGACCGAAATCCATTTCAAAGACAAGAAACGATAGATAAGTTTTACTTGCAGATGAAGTTTGTTTTCTTTGAATGATGCACTAGTGATGTTGTTTACCTTTCTGTTTTAAAATATAATTTTGAAAGCAATCGAACTAGATCGTCTGGTGAATCAAGGTGTTAATCCTATATGGTAAGTTCTTATCGAAATATTCTTATCGACGCCAGGAAAAACATGAGTGGTCGCTTTGRCCAGGTTTGCTAGCCGTAATTTAGAGGCTTTTTCAAGACGTTTTTTTAAGATAATATTGATTTATAATTTATAAAAATTGGCAGCTGTATTTGGCAACTATCATGAAAAAAGAAAATTTGAGTGTGTTTTTTTTTTCAAGTTTGAGGAATAGTCGAGCAATATGCGATGTAGATGCATTCAATTACCTCACTCCTTGTAAGAAACTCCAATATCTAAAATACTTGACTCAAAATAGTCATATATGATTGATTATTTAAAATATCAAGAATCAAGCTATATATAACGAAATAAAAGAGAGTTCAGCGTATTCTTGATCAACGGACACATTGGACGCTTAATCCAGGCGACAGTAGACGGAATATGGCGCCAGTGAACGCTCATTTACATCGGATAATATGAAATGAAACTGTCCTATAACAATGCTATTATACAAAGTATATATGAGCCTCAAGCATCTTTCTTCTCGTTTGCGTCAAAGAACTCAATCCCAAAATAAGAAAACACTCACAAAATTGAATGACAACAAATTTATTTCCAATAGATTTTTTTCCGAATTCGCTTGCGTGACCACAAAACAATGCTCGTTTGCGCCGAAAAGCTCAAACCTAAAAAAATACAAACACTCACAAAGACAAAACTTCGGGGTTTATTTCCCGAATTCTCTTGCGTGACCACAAAATAATGGCTCCAAGTAGAGACTGAACTTGATAAACCACAAACTCATAAAGTCCAACCTCGCGGAATCAGGTGCAGCCATTGTTTAGTGATCACGAAAGCGAATTCGGGAAAGATTAATAACATGCAAAAAAAAAAAAAAAAAAAAAAAAAAAAAAAAAAAAAAGAACATTTGCGCACAATTTGTTATGGACATTTCAAACCATTGCGGCCAAATATCATGGCATGCGGTTTATGAAGTTTTATTAAATATGATATTAAATATGATAGTTAAGTTCATCATACTCTTAATAAGAAAATTGTTTAGTCTGGTATTAATGCTTCAAATGGACTAAAATTCTAAAAAATTGTCTTATCAGCATTTTTATGCTTGTTTTGAGATAAATTGTGGCTTAGTCGGTAGAGTGCAAACAATTAGTCCGTGAAACACTAATTACTAAAAAGTACAAAATAGTGCTAATTAAACAATAGAAAACAATGGAATTTGCATGACATTGTGCTAATTGGTATTGTGCTATTTTATACGGTTATATTGTTTGCACTCTAAACGTTTTACCACATAAAAAATAGTGTGTCAGGCGCCCTTATGACCGAAACAACTTCAAAAACATCACGTGATAACTACAACAGACGCTAAACAGTCAAGTGAAAGAAGAGAAACTACTCCATACATTTTGCCMAATTTTTTTTGAGTGTAGAGTGACCACAGTAAATTCGTGAAACTTTAGTATTACTAAATACTAGTAGCACAATTCCATGCAAATTCCATTGTTTTCTATTGTTTAATTAGCACTATTTTGTACTATTTAGTAATTAGTGTTTCACGGATTAATTGTTTGCACTCTAAAGGCTTTGCAGTTTAATTCAAAGAAGCCAAAATAACCTATAGTTAGTTATTGTCATTTACCTTAACTGCTAATTAAAACTGTTAACCTTTTCACCTTCACAGACGTCTTAACACGAAGTAACAATATCGAAGACGTCATTACTAGTAGTTAGTGAATCGGTTTCCACGTAACAACGGCTGTCAAGGACAACTACAGAATATAGAATTTCTAAATGAGCTTCAGAATTTATACAATTTTGTCGTCAATCTATAGCTACCTGCACAAATCTTAAGCCCCGTTTACACTAGCGATCTTTGCGGCGATTTTTGCKGCGATTTTTTTGCGATTTTGTCCATAAAATTATGGTAAAGAATTTACTTGTAAARTTTTTTTTCAGGATACCAAGATTTTCCTAGACGAATGTCTCTTTTGAAGGATGAGAYAAAAGATTTCATATTTCTGAAAATTGCCACAAAAATCGCAGCAAAAATCGCCGCAAAAATTGCCAGTGTAAACGGGGCTTTAGGGTTTCAAGCTAACTCTTTACCTCTATCCCCGCCCTCCCCACCCACACCATGCGATTCGCCGACAATCCTTCCCTAGATTCCCTACGGTCGTCAAACAACGGGGGGTGGGAGGGTAGGGGGGATTAAAAATATTAAATACATTAGCCAAATATGGATATGATTCTGGTTGGTATTTTGACTAAGAACCGACTAGCTAAGAGTGTTCAGTGTTCGAACAAGAACTTGGAATTATACAAAGCTCCTGTAATATATATTGTCATCGAGTAAGGAAGGGTCCCGATACATGAACGTAGTATAAACACCTTAAATAATCACTGATGAAACTAAAAGCTGGAAGAGGACTACCTGACAAGTAACTACTTATTATTAAGTTTGCGCTACTGGTCTCTGACAGTGTATGACATACAATAATATACTATATATAGGTATCTCTACTGAACAAAAATAACACAGTTGTTACGTTTGTTCTTAGTTAGATTTTTTTTTTTTTTAATATTTTGGCTCGACAAAGTCTTTCAATTGTCGCCTTGAATATGAATCAAAGCGTTCAAAGAGTATTGTAGTGTTATGTAGCAATCAATAACATCCATTTTGTACGTGTAATGTAAGTGATGTTTTTTTTTTTTTACTCTCCTCCAGGCGTCTAGAGTTTAATTCTTTCTTGGAAAACAGCTGAAACAGAGGGATTATTTCTTGAGGAAAGCACTGCCGGCCAACACGCTGCGTCAACAACAGGTACCCACGAACGTTTATCTACATAATTCCTTGAAAATATAAAACATAGCGTTTCCATTTGAATAATGATTGGTTTTTCTTTTAAAAAAATTTTCACTGAACGAATTATCAGTCATTCTCATTTTCACATATGAAGTATTCAACGAGACTATGAATAAACTAGTGAATTGACTTTGATAAGTCTGGTCTTATCAAAAATAAAAATAATAAGGATTTCTTTATTCATAAAAACTTTCATTGACCTCGTCCGGTGTTGCGTTGAATTTATTGCATGGATCTGCCATTGTTTTACCACATTATTGTAAGTCTTAAAATAGTTAATCCCAAAGCAACGCTTAGCAATAATTATGATAAGATGCTAATGACATCTCATTAATTATATTTTTTTTCTCGTATATATCTAAATTTAATATTGTCATACGTGGCTAGGAAATATAACCAAAGCTTTTTAAACAAATCGGGAAATACGTGTTTACACATTGAATAAACTCTAGCTCTTCGCAGTAAAACGGGTTTTTTCAATACCAAAGTTTTAAATCAACATTTTATTGGTTTGAGGATCGGTAGAAGCAGGAAGTCTGGGAGACAATGCATATAAACATGAGAAAAAAACACCATTAGCGGAGCTTATTCTTTGCTTACTATACTATAGATCTACATTACCTTGTGGAGGTCTAAAAGCTTTTCACGCTGTATATCACTTTATAGACTTTCGCAAAATCCGCCGCCCGAATCTAAAAAAAAAAACACCGGGAAACAAGAGAGGTCGACTTGGAACAAGTCTAATCACTTTATAGATTTTTCTCTGGCCCTTTCAAATTATACGTGCGTAAAGTGAATTTTTAACGACCAACTTTCAAGGCGAAGCATTAGATGAATCAAATTATAATTTTTTTTTGAATTTAACCTTTTAATTATGTTAAATGGCGATAAAATATGAACCTTGAAAGGCTTCGAAGAGAAGAATAGATTGTTCAATTCAAGTACAAATGCAGAAAAATCAATATTCGATGTATTTTTCAGCCATAAGTTTGGTAGCTAATTTGGATGATTGTCACATATATGCCTGCAGTACATAACATAGTTTAAATTCATTTCGGATCCAGATATTAAACTTATAAAATAGCCGATTGATGCGTGTATGACATTGTCGATCTCTTGTGAATGATGACAGCTTTGATTTTAAAATGCATAATTTCGATCGGGGGTGACTGTTTTTCACCTGTTCAAGCTCAGATGATAGTTTTTGCCAGAGAATAACAACGTCATAACATTAACAAGAAGCGCTAAGATACAATGTCTTCTAGTTGTGTTTGAAATGATTTTAAGCTACAACTTTAAAAGCTTCACAACGGCCCTTCAAGGTTGGTCTTGTCAGAGTTGGTTAACATCAAAAACGTGACTGCTTTATGAAAATCTATACTACTGACTGATTAAGTAAAAAAAAAAACACCATTTGTTATGCCACAGTAAAGCCGGCCAGGTAAGTAGAAGTAGTAAGAACAGTTTCTCTCTAATCTTAATAGCCAAAATCAGACATATATTATTTCTTATCGCAGCAGGATAACCCCTTTTACACTCTCTTTTTGTCTCGGCTACTCGAGGTAAAATGTAGGTTAAATTTGATATCAAAAAGGGGAGTTTTTTAAAGTTATATTTCAAGTACTTTGTCCGTAGAATAAATTGTGCGCGGGACGTCGTCTGCCTTCGAAATCCGCGGCAATATCGGCCGATCGATCGAGAGGCAATATAAGCTATTGTTAGCAGCTACCAATATTATGTTTTGACTTTTCTGATCAATTAGTATCATATCTTATTTAATATGACAATATTACGCGCAATATTATATTGGTTTTATTCCAACTGCGCATAAGCCTAATTTAACATTTTGACGACATTTTAGGCCCCGTTAAAAGGAAGGTTTTTGTTTGTAGAGGCTTGAATGCGCTTTCCCGACTGCGCTTTCCCGACTGCATGGCGGTGGCGTCATTTTCCGTGAAGAAACTCGAAAACGAACAATAATAACGTTATGTGGGTGGAACAAAAAAAATTCATTTGAAAACAAAAATCCTTGTGGGCGACGAAAATATCTAACTTACGTCAATCACAGCATTTGAGGAGTTGATCAATTACACTTAGTTGCACCTATCTCAGTAATATCAAGATTTCACAGAAGTTTAGAACTATAACGCTTGCGCTGTGATTGAATGGCTTTTCCGTGGTTTATATCTTATGAAATATTTAAAAATTTAACGCTCGCGCTGATTAGCTGGATAAAATATTTGAGATATAACGCACGCACTGATTGGCTGGCAACCGTGTTTATATCAGAGGACAGAGACACATTCGCGCAAAATCGATCAAAAATATTTTATGAAAAGCAATACGTATARCGGCTGCTAATGTTTCCGTACTATGATATAAACACACTGAGAGCTGTAGAGCATGAGAGAAGCAAGTAGTATGCCTCGTGTTCACAAACATTTTCATTTTGTGCTCTACAGCTTCCCGCGTATTTATTGATAAGTCATAGTACAGAGACATGCGTGCACGTTTGGTATTGATAAGTATAAATACATATATATAAGACGAATCATTACACGGTAAAAAGCGGCTGTCGTCAGCTGTTATAATTTAATCATTCAGAAAAAGAGTTATCTTGATAAAAGATTGTTGTACACGCGTAACGAATATCACAGCTGCTCATATTCAGACAACTAAAAATCTTGATGTTTTAAGATTATTTATATTTGTCCCTTTCGCCATGGAAAAAGGGCGTAATAAGTTATTAAATTATTATAATTATTAATATTATTTTTTATCTTCACTATATATATAACAAATGAAAAAGAGTTTTGATATCGCTTGATATCACCCTTATCATAAGAAATTAACGCTCAGTACGAAATTAACGCGAATTTCTATAAAATGATTTTTCATTTAAGTCATCGCTTGATTCCTTTTGATGTTAACTACAACTATATCATTATTGAAGCGTTAATTTTCATGATAGTGAATTCATTAACAATTTTATCTGTTTTTGAGATGATATGAAATTATTCATCATTTGAAACTGAACATTACATTTCCAGTAAAGGAAGAATGTAACATTGAAGCTAAAGCAACAGCCTTTAATTTGAAAGTTCATTTTTAAATGTGTGTGTTGTCACACATTGCTATCTCAGTTAATCATCGCGTTAATTTCTGTCAACGTTAACGAAAATGTTGGGGTAGTCAGTCTTTCGAGTCTTGAAAGTGTCTTTATTTTGAAGCATTTTTAACCTCAATCAGGTCACGTTTATTTAAGTCAAGCTAATTTTCAATACCTCAATTAAGCATTAATTTTATTTCCTATAATGACCAACTGAATCCTGGCCCTATAACATGTGAACCGACGGCTTGATAGCCAAACTGGTCCTGATTGTTTGGGGATGAAGAGTGGCGCATACGCCTCTAGCCCGGCTCGTGGCTCTATTACTGAACTTTACTGAACCCCATAACATATGTGATCGAGTAGATTTGACTAGGTCTCGTCCTTGATTCGAGGGTTATCCTCTGGATTCTCCTGATTTCCTTCCTCTGCAAAATCTAACAACACGCTAAATTCGAATTTGTTCTGACTTAGATCAGCCCAGAGGTTGTTTCAGGGTTCGATCTGTGAGTTAGACGTGCCCTGACTTTGATCAGCCCAGAGGTTGTTTCAGGGTTCGATCTGTGAGTTAGCCATGCCCTGACTTATTGATCGACCCAGAGGTTGTTGAGTTAGACGTGGCCTGACTTTGATCAGTCAAAGGTTGTTGTTTAAGGGTTTCGACGATATCTTCTTCATTCAGTAGTGACCACTTTGCCCTACTTCTAGTGCTCCTCCACACTGACATCCCGTATCCGTAGTAACGTATTACGAGAATAAAAAAGCATACATGACGTCATCATTTTGTAATATTGTACGTTCTACATTGAATGGCTCAGCAACGAAAAGAGATATTATTATTGATATTATTATATTATTATTATTTTACAGAATATATTTCAGATACACGTATCAGAACAGGCATACTTGTTCAGTATAAGGATCCCTTTTATCGTATGGATAGATATTGTACTGTCTATCTGTCCTTCTATCGAATTATTTTTTTTGCACAATTCCTAACATGCAAATGAGTTGTCTTTTTTTATTTATTCTATTCCACCTGTCGAGTGAAAAGTGCAATTATACAAAAGTAAATATAGCTGTCACATTTGAACACTAATGTCATCGACTGAAGCAAACGTCATCAGCTAGAACAATACCAGAACAAATATCTCAATCGAGGGTTCTATCTATCCTTTAATGAATGATTCAACTCAGTAAGGCTCTATTTCGAATCGAAAACCACGACCACGGCTCATTGGCGGTATAGATAATTATTATTAGAGTTATATCTAATTGTCGCCCCGAAACTCGTTAATGTATTTATCACATAATGATGATACAATTTGGAGTTGATTTTGTCTGGTGCTTCCGTTCGGCTAACTAAACACTGTAACTTTATGCTTGTAGGCTTGTCAGTGTCACCTCCTCTAACAACCATTGACATCGACTTCAGAAGCTAGTCCATCGTCAAGGAAGAGGTACTGTACTCTAGCGAAGGTAAGTAACGTCCCTTAGATCTATTTATTGCAGATTATCCACTGGAGCTGAAGTGGTTAGTCTTGTTTAAGTCGTGTGGTTTGGACAGGGTCGGTTTAGAATACCGGAAACCTTAGACGGCACTTATATAATCATATTCTAAATGGAAACCTGCCCTTTGTTGCTTCGAAATCAACTCAGCTGTTTCGAAAGCACCTTTTGCCTGTATCAATAATTCATATTTCTCCGTCAACACTGTACTTCTTGTGTCATAGTGAAATCTCTCCACCAAGTCTAAGTTAATCCCCGCGTACTTGACCAATACGCGAACCATTCTTATGCAAGTACATAACCAAATCTTTAGCGAGTTGGGTTGGCTTCCCAGGGGACGAAACCAACGTCAACGCGAGCAAGATTTTTTGGTCACTTTGTGAATTCTCGAACGTTGTTTTTCCAAAGTTCGGATTCTTAAAATGTCAAGGGACAAAGGGACAACTAAAGTAGAGAATCGAGTCGGTACTTGACCTATATTTATTACGCATTGACGAAAATAACAGTCTACTTAAACCCGTGAGGTGCTTAAACGGTTAATATTTTAGCATTTTCTTAATGGACTATGAAATAAGCTCTCAGTTAGTCGAATGTTTTGTATAGTGTTGGGAAAAAACATTAACTCAGCGTGGCTTATCTTTTTTGAGTTCAAGTGTATTATCATTCGTCTTCACAGGAGAAATATGATCCTTTTTAAGTGTATTCCAATCATCAGTTGCCGTTGCTATGGTTTCTGTATTTTTTGATTTTATGTCTTTACTTGTTTCCGTACGTAAGCTTGTTTTTATCTCTATTCACCGGCTGTCTTTCACTCGGAGAAGAAAATTATCGACGTAATTAACTTTTAACAGGACTACTAGTTGGTAAAGAGTATTTAGCGAACGATTAACCAGGGTAAATTAGAATATACTATAAATAGAATGGAAACAAGAATAGAAAAAACAACATAAAATCATCTAAAATTAAATTACACACACACAAACGAAATTTTGTAGTTAATATTTTTATCTTATTTTCAACGAATTGCTAGGATAAATAAATCATGGGATAAATAAAAATAAATACTTATTCCTTTCAAGTTTTTGAAAATATAATCACAAGTCCTTTAATACAACTGCGAAGAACGGATTAAGTAAATTATAAATTCTTAGTAAAAAAATCTTCCAAACAAACACACACACACACACACACATCTCTATAGAAAATGTTATTCCAAGCAGACGAGCTGCAATATTAAAAATCGCGATGTAAGAAAAATTTTCAAACAAAGGTCTTTCTCTATGCTTTGAAGGATATGAAACCGAAAGAAAACACACATATTTAGAATTGTAAAGACTCTATTTTCGCTGTCTAAGATCTCTATTTTGAGTAATAAATATCCTGAGCTGTGATTGGTTGATTTGGGATAACATAACGCTCCCATGGGGGGAACGACTCATACCTTCCTTTCAATAACAAACTTTATTCTTCCTCAGTTTAATGAGTAGAACAGTACTCTTATCTCGAGTTTTATCAAAGTCACTTATGTCTCTTATACATAACATCAAGCAAGGCAGAGTCTAGAGTGAAAACTAATTAARCAAGGTATTTTTTATATTTATTTACTTCAGATATTTTAAATATTTTAGCAGCTTTTCAATATATTTTTCTTTATATAATTAAATTCCTAGCATAAAATGATGCTATAAGTTCTTATGATGAAATTTATTCCGAACATTAGGACTTATTGGAACTGACTCAAGRCCAAATACGACACAGAATTAGTTGAGTTTGATGTTTGTGCAGGCGGAAATGTTAACTCAAGGTAAAAAGCTTTAAATCTTACATCCTTGAGTTATGAAGCTCATCTGTAAGTCTTACAAATTCAAAATGATGCTATAAGTTCTTATGATGAAATTTATTCCGAACATTAGGACTTATTGGAACTGACTCAAGACCAAATACGACACAGAATTAGTTGAGTTTGATGTTTGTGCAGGCGGAAATGTTAACTCAAGGTAAAAAGCTTTAAATCTTACATCCTTGAGTTATGAAGCTCATCTGTAAGTCTTACAAATTCACATTAAAAGGATGCTTTTTCATCTCAGAGGTTTGAGAAAAATAACTTCTTGATATACCTATATACACCAAACAACGTTGTCATCGGTTAAGGCGATAGGCAATAGCTAGAATATAGGCGAAAAGCGATGAGAGATAGGTCATTCAAAGTTCCAAGAATAGCTGGAATGACTTGTGTTTCAGCGGACATCAGTGTTGAGACTGATTCAATGTTCTAAGTATTCAACGAAACCATTTCCATGTCGCAATGACCTATCGCCTTTGGCGATGATAACGTTTTTTTGAATTAGGTGTACACTGGCGAAGTCAGTGTTTTGATATTCGTAGACGCCTGCAAGTGTCTTTGATAATTGTTTACCTTAGAATCAAAATCAAAAGAAAAACCACCAATAATAATGAATATTCAAATTAATGATATGATATCATGTCTGAAAATCAGAAAAAATCCTCAATTCTCCATCGTTTTAAGATATTATTTGTTGATTTCATTTGAAGAGAATTTGTCGTCCTCTAGTTATTCTAACCTCAGCCTTTGCCGAGCACCTGTCTTTGCTCTCTCAGGGAACTAACCCAACAGGAGTCTTGTTTGTCTTGTGCAAGACAATTCGGTCTGGAATCAAATGTCGGTCTTCTCCTAGATTTGACAAATTTAAGTACAGTCCAGTGACTTCAAAGCAAAACAAAAATACTTGCTTTAATATATGACCAGAAAATTTCTCCTTGGAGTTCGAATGCATTGGACACTAGTAAGTATACTTTTATGAAGCTTATAAGACGAAAGAACCTAGAAAAGGCGTCAAAAAAAGTTGGAAGGTAATGGTGAAGTATAGTTCCTAGAAATAAAATCAGATCTATTATTGATACCTTTAGTTAGTTTAGGTATCAATGTTGAAATTTAAAAGTGAAGAACCGTTATGAGAAAAGAAAGCAACTTAACGCGCAGTCGCTTGTGAAACAGGAGTTCTAATCTCAACTCGTAATTGAAGATCGTGTTCCTCATATCAGAAAACTATTTTAGCCGGAAATAGATCGAAAGCTAGTTTTGCTAGCATCACATTGCGTAGAAGGGTTTCCCATTTGTGGCCTTTCACTTTTGATCCTGTCTAATAGATGCRCGCTCTTCATGATCAGCGCGCAGGTTCAGAAGCAAGTTAGAAGCAATTTTATGTAGCATAGTCCCTTGATCATTTCAGGGGTTTTTCTCTGGATTCTCCGGTTTTTCTCCCTCGCAAAATCTAACAATCTAAATTCATATTCAGTCTGTAAGTTAGCTGTGCCCTGATTTTGATGCGCCCAGAGGTAATTTTTAATTAAGGGCTCGATCTGTGAGTTAGCCGCGTGCCCTGTCTGTGATCATCCAAAAAGTTGTTTTATTCGAATTCTGAATAACTATAGTTTGATCTGTAGCCCCTATAGGCTTTATTATAACATTTCGCTCTTAATTCAAGAAAATTCGAGTACAAATCAAGGATCGCTCGCTACATTAACTAGTCATTGTCATTGCATAGGTCGCGCAAGACGTTCAAAATATTGCAAGCTTTCTTTGAACATCGCCGCTGCGGTTTGCTCTCAAAACAGCGTCGGTGCGCAAAGTAGTTTTACTTAGTTTCTTTATCTTACTTTTAAATTTGATTATATCATTTCCACTTAAAAACCACAATTGAATAATACGATTTTGACCATAATGGTCTTTATTGGCTACGTCATGTATGTCTGCGATCAGTTCTATTTTTCTTAATCAGGTAGCTTTTTGGTTTAATAAATCAGATTGGTGGTGATGGTTAGAACCTAATAAATCTTATTAGTTGCGGTGCAATGTTTTCCCATTATAAAACACGTGTCATTCCCTACAGTATAACTTCTTTGCTTGTTCACCTGGTTTCCCCTTTTCCCACTTTACAGCCTGTTAGTCTGCCGCCTTTCCAGGTTTGCCCCACGTCTTAGTATCCTGTTGCTTTACCGGTCTTCCTTCTCTTCTCCTTCTTTGCTTTGCTAGACTGTTTTGTTGGGCTATTTATATAGATCTTGTTTTTACCTCCATATCTATTTTCCTCGTGGTTATCCTACCCAGTGAGTTGCAATGTAGTTCTGATATCCTGTTGTCGCATTATTTTTATCAGAAACATAACCTTATGCATTTACCATTTCTATCATCAGGTGTGCCTACTAATACACGTCAAAAATGAATAACTCTAGCGGATTCCCACCAATGACATTGATGCCCCTACCTGAGGTGATTGCATGGTGTTCGGCATACGTTATCGTTGACGCACTAATCGTAATCGGCAACGCACTTACCCTGGCTGTCTTCTACACCAATAAACGTCTATTGCGCATGCGCGCCAATTATTTCCTGGTCAATCTGGCCATAGCAGACCTGTTCGTTGGGATCATTGCAGTACCAATATTTACATATTACCTGGCCGCCGCAAGTAAACGAGGGCATGTCGTCTGGAACGAGTATCCGTACCAGATCGCCAAAGTCTTGGATATTTTCATTGGTTGTGCGTCTATCTTTACTCTTGCGATTATTGCACTAGAGAGAGCATTTTCTGTCTGTTTTCCTCACGTCCACAGAGGAATTGGAAAGAAATCTTACATGAATATGATTGCTGTTGTGTGGGTTCTATCATTTCTAATGGCTGTTCTACGAACCTTGTTCATCGCAGAAGAAATTGGCTTCAACGTGTTCTTCTACTTCCTAATCGTTTCATTCTGTATTTCGATCATTTTAATCTGCATCAGTTATCCAGTAATAGGTATACGGATGAATTACCGATTCGCGAACGTCGAGAAACACAGAAAAAAGAACGATCACGACCGTCGTCTTGCTCTCATGTTGTTTATTGTCACAACGATTTTCATCTTTACATGGCTGCCCTTCCACATCTTGAACGTCGTTACATTTTTCTGTAGATCCTGCAGAAGTATGCCCAACGAACTTCCCTACATTATTAAACTGCTTCACTATGGTAACTCCTGCGTCAACCCCATCATCTATTCATACTTGGTTCCTGAGTTCAGACGAACTGTTATCAAGTTGTTTTGTGGTAAGAATAAAAGGAAAGCGTATGCTTCGACGCAGCTATCATGAAAATTATTACAGACGCATGAAGATATTCTGCTTATAACGAGAGATGAACGACAACTGCTTAAAAACAAATCTTGAAATATATGAGTTTGTTTATTCTGGCTGAAATGTGAAAAACTGAGCTGAGAAAATACGCTGACTATGTTGTCTTCTCTTGAGCCACGCTTGTCATTGTGAGTTAACCTTGATATGATGCTATTTTAATTATCCTATAAAACACTGCATGCCATGAAGGAATGGAAATGGTGGTCTTTGCGCATGTAAAAAATATTTTTGAAGCAGTCATAAGAGTATACAAAAATTTTGATCAGGCCAACGGCCACAATGAAGAATGTAACTAGCTAATCACGTGACTATACCTGTACATAATGTACATAATTGATCACTACATATGTATATATGTATACGATAAATTGTTTAGAAACAATAGAAGACAAACTCAAGTTGCTGAGGATTGTGGGATTGATTGGGGACACAATTTCAAGATAGCGGAGCTATCCCCTATTGAGTCCCACAATGTCGTGCAACACGAGCTCGTTACCAGTTTTCCTCTAAGCTTCGAGAATTGAAGTAAACCCCATAAATATACGAGAAAACTTATAGAACCCTTGCATGTGACGTCAAAGCCGCTCAATAAGCCTGAAGCGAGATGACGTTTTACCCCCGACTCTATACCATAATAGTTTTTGAAATTCTTTCATATTAAAATTTTTGATTCCTTAGAGAACACAGGAACAATAGTCATAATTAAAGAACAAAAGCAATGTGAAAAGGATTATGGTCTAGAGACGGGGGTAAAACGTCATCTCGCTTCAGGCTTATTCGGAGATCAAAACAAAGGAATTCCAATCTCCTGAGAATTGGAACCTATTGTTTTGTCCCCCAGATTGAGCTGCATTCCAAAGTGCATTCCAAAGTGCTGCAAGGGGTCTTAAAGGAATCACTTCTAGGAAGACTGCAACGGAATCGCACGCGCGGTTATTATAATATTTCGTAACAAGAAAACACCTTTCTGACATTTTATGTCCAAAAAGATTTCAAAGTTTTAAATTTTTTCTATTTGTATTATACACTCAATTGAAGAATCGTTGTCGGGGTCAGAAACATAGAACATAGAAGCTGAGACCGAAATGGCACATGGGAAAGGACATAATTATATTATAATTTATTCATTCGCGCCATCCATGCAGTCGGTTTAGAACGCCAAACGCGTATTAAAAACAGTGGATGATGCCACGGGTCTCCGGTCACAGAATGCATCTAATTAACGTACTTCCCATGTGCCATTTCGGTCTCAGCTTCTATGTTCTATGTTTCTGAACCCGACAACGATTCTTCAATTGAGTGTATGCGATTGGTTCATGTTGAACAGGGGTAATTTGGTTAATTTCAAAAATTCTACACGCGTAATCGAAGACACCGTCACCAACTACGTAGCCACATTGTCGGGAAATACAAAGTAGTAATCCAGTATGGCTGCCATGCTACTAGATAAAGGTATCTTACAGTTATTCGTAAGTTGTGGTAGCCATGTTGAAGTACAATACAAAATATACGTCCAACATGGCCCTCATACTACAGGATAGAAGTGACTTCCAGTCTTGCCTAAGACGTGATAGCCATGATGGAGGATATTACCAAATATAGACATCCAGCATGGCCGCCATATTGAGAAAGCTTGACGTTATCGTCATCGCAGAGAGGAATTGTTGTTTATGTATCTGATTGTTGAAGGTAAAATAAAACTATAGAAATGGCTTTGTCTTTGCGCACGGAACTAGAATATGTCACGCGCGTCCAACAGGGCTCAGAGGAGATACAATAGTGCTTAGGCGAGTTTTATCTCTTGTCGCAATGCGGGCATTTGCACGCGCTATTTCATTCGTGGGTAATTCCGCTGGATATTTGAACTGAGGGCAACATAAAAACACTACATTTATATCATGGTCATAAGAATATTGTGTTTAAATCGTCGGTGCCTCTATTGCTTACTATCAATCACGTGACTTTTTGGAGTTGACTGGGGGGCAAACAAGCGGTTGACTGGGGGGCAACTAGCAGAGGTTAAGTCAAAACATATCAAAATAAGTCCCCAAACTATTGTATTTGACTATTTTCACGACATCAAACCAGAAAACAAGAGATCAAAACAACCTCCAGGATTCTACAAGCCATAAAAGAAGAAGTGACGTCTATTGATAGCAACCTATAGTTTTGTTCTGCATGCATCGAAAGAACGATGAATCGTCGTGCGTGCGCGCTAAAGCAAGGCATGATTATACGTAAAGTCCGCATGCGCACACTAAGATTCCTGCTCTGAGCCCTATAATCTCTCTGAGTCTATAATCCGATCATTCTTAACTGCCCATTATACACAAACCCACTCATTCACTAATCCTTTTTGCTGCCATCTTCAAGTACTAAAAACGCCAGTTGGTGTTTACAAACATTAAATCGTGATGTAATGCATGGACCCTTCTTGACTCGGAGTATCGTGGATCCGAGGCTAGCTAACAAATACAAAAGAAATCGCACTTTTTCTCTATGGAATTTGTGGTATTTCTTTTGTATTTCCATGTTAGCCTCGCATAATATTAGAGACAATTTTAAGTAGGGTGCATTGCCTTCCAAGCATTATCACAATAGTTCAATAGTTCTTGTCAAGTTGCTTTGTTTCATCAGCGATTGGCATAGAAATAACAATAGCTTATGTCGATGAACTAGCGCTGTACAAGAGAATTAGAATGCCATAACATCGTCACTCTACCCTTCCCTCTCACAGGTTTCCTCTCTCTCTCCTCGATCCACGCTTACGCTTGGTAAGACACATTATACAAGATGTACTTCAAACAAAGAGTCTTTTCCCCCAAAGTATTTAGTTGATAAAACATTCCACCCAACATCGTCATGAGTCTATTGTCTTGTGTCTATCTAGCTGTGAAAAAGAGAGTCCAACATTTTAGCATGACTGAATAAGATTATCCTAATTCTACTGGATGTATCGTGCGTGCACTTTGTTCAAGCGGTCAAATCAAACACACAGGTCTCAAAAACTCGACCGAAATAAACATGCCAATATTGCTTAAGGCAACTAGCTGGTTCCAGACAGGCATTTGTTTTTGCCCGAGGACATATCCACAATATTTGGTAAGTTTTAGGAAGATGAAATCTGGTAAAGTGAGTCTTGCCAGACGTGTTTGCCCTATCCAAATCTCTCTGTATCTAAGGCCCTGTTAAAACTTTAGATTCACTTGTGCCGAACATAAAGAGTATTTATCTTTTGAATTCATTTGAATAAGATTCGGCACATTTAAAATTACGCGTCTGAACTGGACCTAAACTAGTCATTGCCAAACCTACAATGATTAGCGTTATACTGGATGGGAGAGCCTAAATAGCACTCAGTTGATGTAATGTATTCAGAAATCTATTGATCCTATTGTCGTTCTATCTATTGTATTAGGCGCTATTCATTGTATTCTTATGAATACATTACATTACATTACAAAAAAGAAAATATAAAATACAAAAGTCGATATGACATTTTACGTTTTACTTTTACAAAATTTGTTTAAAATTTCCATATAGAATCTAAAAAGGCCGTTCCTCTGTTGCCTAGAAGGGGGAGCTGTGGCCCCCAAGGCCTTGGCTCCCCCCTGGCTACGCCCTTGCCATTCTCAGCTGGTGTTGCAGAGGCACGAGCTTGTAAATAGTTTATAAATGAGAACAAGTTACACAGAATCTCTTATCCCATAATCCCATAACACTCCTATAACCAAGGGGCGGAAGGGATGGATTTATAGATGAGAAGTGCATATCCTATTAGCCATTCCTAGGTTGAGAAAAAACTGGGTCGAGTTGGCATCGCAGCGCATTGTGGGACATATTTTCAAGCTTGATTCTATTTTATCCCCTAAAAGAGAATTGCACGTCATTGGTATATAGATAATTTGGCAGTCATCGTAGAAAAAAAAACTTTACGGAATGAAAATAAGAATATCTCAGGTAATTTATTTAATTCCACAGATTAAGGGGTTTGCAGATCACGTTTACTCTACACCTTAGCCCGACTGAACAACAAATAGCTCTTTTCTTAATAGACTATAAATTTCATTTCACACTCTAGTGAGACTTCACTTTAGAGGGATCAAAAATTATCAAGTGAAATCCATTCTCAAATGGACGTGTTCATCTTGACTGTCGCGGGCGGCATCTCAACATCAGATGATAAGAGTGTTTTTCATTTTACACTTGGCAGAAATAATGAATGAGATGTTACAGTTTGCTCTTCAGTAAGCGCCAGAATTATATATATTTTTAATTTCACTAGCGCACTTGATTGTACACATCGCGACAACTTAAACTCTTTCGCACATGACATTTATCAATAGATTCTCGTGGTCTATTGAGACTCCAAACAACTTAAAAAGCCATTTGCTTGACGCGATAATGCATAAGTGTCGAATGAATAAATAATGAATTATTTAAGATTAATTAGTTCAATCGCTGTCAGTTTCCTTTCGTCCAATCAATTGTGGTGTCAAAACGGAAGGATTTCACAGTCCCTGACTTATCTTCAGGGGCCAAGAAGTCTATTTGAAAAACTTCTGTCAAGATCTGAACTCGAAGCAAGACGGCGTTGGAAAGTAAGTTTAACCATCCTTAGTTTTGATATTTAAGCAGTGTAGCTACCAAACAATCCCTCTTATACATCCTTGGTGATCTCTATGGTGATATTGTCTAACTATCGTATTCACTATTGATTCACTTGTGCCGTGATTTTAGATGTACTTTTTATAATCGATTTTTCTCGCATTTTCCAACAATAACTGAACATTAATCTTCGTTTTCCCCCCATCGTTATGCAGGAATTCTTGTTCATGTTTGACGCACTCAAGACCTCGAAGGAGAAAAGACTATAAAAAACTAGCACTTACTGACCAAGCCACTGGAAATATTTCTTGCTCAAGGGACTACAATTTTTTTTTTTTTTTTTTTTTACATCTTGTTTTTTACATCAGAGGTAAGAACGCTGAAATATGTACTCATTTTAATTTAAAGTTACAAAATATTTTGCTTCATCCCAATATCCCCAACTTAATATCGCGAAAATTGGCTTAACTAAAGTTTGCATTTTCCAAATCACTACCATTGCGTGCTTCGCTTTCATTGAACACTTTAAAACGATACGCATAACAAATATAATAAATGAATGCATTCGAGAAGTAAAGCGTTGCAAAGTGGAGTAAATACATTGATCACGAATCTGGTGCTCGGAGAAAAACAGAACTGATTAAGATAGATAAAATAAAAGTTCTATCATCTAGAGAAAGATTCGAGCGTTGAAATGGACAGACTACGTCCTTGAATTTCRACACGTCAGTAGCCTTAAGCGAACAATCTGTTTAATATATTAAATTGATTTAA